AAAAAACATGTTGTTAAATCCTTATTTAAATCGGATTTATTATTCATTTTTTTCATAGGTAAAATACTTATTTATTATTTAAGTAAATATTTTACCAGAGGATTATTCATTTTATATGATAATCTCAGCATGAGCATCATCAACTGGTAACAGTTTGTGGGCGCATTCGTTAATAGTGGTCGCTCTGCAACGGGAATGCGCTGCCGTTTGTAGGAATTTAGGAACGACGGTGAAAGAAAAATGGCGGCGCCCGCACTATTGATAGTATCGTGTGGAGGAATCTATAATTCTAAAATGAGCTTTTAGAGGCAAAAGAAGGGTCCCAATTGTAAAATTTAACCATTAAATGGATTATTTGTTGAAAGAGCATTCAAAGTAGCCACGAAAACAATTAGAATGCTCGCGCGGAGGTATAAAAGAACGCACCCTTTATTACATTTTGTGTTGTACGAGGATTTTACCCAATTCCTGAATCATGTTAGAGTGAACCTGTGCTATAAAAGCACTGTGTTATACGGGGGATGTTCCCAATTCTCGAACCGTGTTAGAGTGAATCCATGCTATAGAAGTGCCGTACTATACGGGGGTTACCTGTATATAAAACAACACTAATTTTTTTTTATTTTCTAAGTTATTTTTAAGTTATTGTTACATTATGTTATGTAAGTTAACTTTTAGTATCATTTCCCTTCTCCTGCTCTTCTGCCACCAGTTTACACCTCCACCATCATCTATCCTCAAAGGTAAAGTGCAAATAAAACTACATTTTTTTTTTAATCAACTATTATTCTATTATGGTTATTTATACATTTACAACTACAAAATGCATTTTTCAGTGTTTTCCTTACTATAGTTATTTTTTTTCAATGTAGTTCTTAGCTTTAATTTGAGTGTGTTTTTCATGTTGAAATGAATTATTTGGTTTTACATGTAATTGTATGGGAAAAAATGATTTATCTTAAGATATTTTCGTGATACAATCTCAGTTTCAGAAGGGATTAATTTCATATCCTGAGGTACCACTGTATTTAATTAATTAAAATAATTTTTCTAGATTTTTTACAAGATTTTTAAAATTTCCCTCAAATGTATAGATTGTATCATATTTTAATTGTTTAAACATCTCAGCCTATCTGCAAACCTGTAAACAAAACCTGTATTACTTCTTATTTTTTGTGAAAATAGAAACATGCCCCTGAAATATTGACTTACAGTTCTTTAGAAATATTTTCATATGTATTAATATTACATATTGATACATACGGAATTATTTTTGAAATTCAGGAAGCAATTTATCCTGATGAAGTCTAGAAACATTGAAACAATATATAAGTCTGGACATATCTTTAAAGTTTGTTCAGAAACATATATTAGCAAAAAAATCAATTATGATTTTCAAATTATAATTAAAAACATTTAATCCATTTGTTGTGAAAAATTTTGTTTTGAATTGAAACTAAAAGGTGCTCAGAATATATCAAGGATGAATATTGAAGTGATAGAAGAAGGGAATCTAGTTACATACAATTACTGTCCATGCTACAATTCATGTAAATGGAAGAATTGTAAATTTAAATTTGGTGCAATTGAACTTAAAAAAGAAGTTGTGGAACTATTCCAAAAACTTTGCTCATGCAGTCAAAATGCTGCATATCTATTAAATTAGCTCATGTGGCTCCAATTTGCATTCCACTTTTGGACACCACTGATCTAGATAGTTATAAATGTGCATTAATTAATATGGGCAATTAAAAACTTAATCGCACATTCTAGAAGTTGAGTATAGGTGTTAACATTTATATATATATATAATAAAAAGAAAGAAAAAAAATCAAATATATAATGAAAGTAGGCCATATGAGGATCTTTGTAAACTGAAAAAAATTATATATAAATATATATAAATATTTGGATTAACTGAAAACCATTTTACTAATTGATTACTACTTAATGTTATTTTGTATGTAACTGTTATATAGTGTGGTATTTTTGAAATATTACTATTACTGTTAACAGGAAAAAATAATGTAGTAATTGACCACTGTTTTAAAGTTTGATTTTTATATTTTAAAAATTTGTGCTTAGATAAAAAAAAAAACAATGCAATCAAAAGACCACACTATCGAATTGAAGTATAAGGTGTAAAAGAAAAAAAAGTCAATTTTGAATGTGCCATTAATTAATCAGTATTTAACTTTAAATTTTTATTTATGACTAAATTAAATATTTTAATTTTTTAACTGATGGTTCTCGGTCATTCCCAATGGGAATCAATTATTTAATATTTAAAAAATAAACAAATGAATTCGATGCTTGTCATAATCAGATTCATATTTCTTGTCATTTGTGTTTGACAAATGTTT